AGGCAGTAAACGACAGAGGAGGAGAATGTCCACCTTCCTTCCACCGAGCAGCTGGTCCCTTCAGGCTTATGGCACAATGCCTCACCACCAGGCCACCAGATTTCCCTTGCTAATAACACAGTAGTTCTATATACATTTAAAACTGGTAAGAAAATTCAAGAAGATCGAAAATTTTCATAATTTTCCTCAAAAAAAATGTAGTTTTGAAAATATCATTCATACAAATATCCTGTTGACTACCTGAATCTGAAGAAGTCTATTATTCAAGGAAAAGGCCACGGATATTGGCGAATGTACAAACACTGAAGTTCGCTGTTCCGTTCTCCCAGTTTTGATTAAGGTTTTCCCTTCACTTTCTTTTTCCCCTTCCCTCCAGCAGCACACACACATCCTAACACGGCATTCAATGCTCTGCGCTCGGATCATCATTCGTTCGCCAGTCCTGGCCCTTAGGAACTCTTCATCCTAAGATCACTCTACAGCCTTCACCATTTCTGTGCTCAACTTTCTGCTCCAAAGTCTTTCCTTCGTCAGCTGGCGTCCTTATCTTTGAAAGCACTGTTCTCTGTGGCACAGCAGCCCTTCATCTCCAGCTTTAACACTAATTCTTCCAGGGCACCACCTCTATCTTCTCAGATAACTGGCCTTTTAGCTTATTTCCCCCACCTCTATTATTATCTCTGAGGACAAGTTGCTTTTCAACTACTTCCTACTTGTCTCCCCACCTGAAACTTAAGTTAAGTCAAGCCAAGGGTTTCTTTGTTTTATTCTGTTGCGTTTATGCCTCACACCCCAAACTGAGGCCTTTCCCAGTGATCTGTGGAAACAAATTTAACCCAATAGCAGACTTGCTGTACAGTCAGCCCAATGGGAAAGCACCAAGTAAGACGTAGTTGCTTTGGGCAGGATCATAATGACAAACTGTTATGATTTCAAGGATTAATGCATTAACTCTTTTTTCTTAAAAAATAATATGCATTCACTATAGAGAAGGTGGCAAATAAAGATACATACAAAGAGGGACAAATCATCAGTAAACCACCTTCCAAGAGTAGTTTTGGTGTTTGCTTGGTTTTTTTCAAGATGGAGAAGTAAGGTTCCTTCTCCTAATTTTTCCAGACACAACACAAGAAGACATGTATATAAGGATGAAAACAATTGGGTGTGGACCCTCCAGTGATGAATCCAAGTTCCTAATCCTACGATGCCAGCTTAGTCACATCACCCCACTGAGTCTTCTCACCTAAAATGTAGGCCTTTTAGTAACATTATTAGTTTTTAAAGAGGCTTCTAAATCAGATTTTGTAAATTAGAAAACAAAGCATTCTCAGTAACCACTGTGCATTACTGCTGGCTGCCATGGAGTTGTCTACAACTCAGAGCAACTCAGTGAGCAACAGACACATATGAACATTGCCCTTATCCTGCGCCACCTTCAGCATTTTAGATACACTCAAGTTCAAGTTTATAGTCACTGTGTAAATTCATCTTGTTGAGAGTCTATCTCTCTTTTCCTGATCCTTTACATTTTCCACTGTAATGTCTTTTTCCAAGGACTGGTCCCTCCTGACAGTATACACAACTTATGTGAGATCAATTTTTTCCATTCTTGCCAAAAACGAGCACCACTGTTGCACCTCCTCCAGGAAACACTTGCTTGTTCTTTTGGCAGTCCATGGCATATTCAGAACTTTCCTCCAACACCGCAACTCAAAGGCATCGGTTCTTCTTTTGTCATCCTTATTCACTGTCCAGCTTTCAGAGGTAGCGGGGGGATGGAGAAGAACAGGAATCCGAGAACACTTCATTACAATCGTGTGAAATCTGTATGTGGATCAAGAAGCTGACCAATAATTACTGTGTGGAAGCACCGTCAACTGGCTGGAAGATAAGCCCCTGGACACACACAAAACCAGACTGAATCCCAGGACGGAGTTCGGATGAGATCCGTGCCTCCATCTATTTCTTATGTGACAAACCACCTCTGCTTTACAGAAGGAGAAAGGAACTAACGGAACAGAGAAAAAACTGTGGCTGTTTTGTTTCAAATGTAGCTGTCTGACTCTGTACTTTCACTGTTTTCACACGATTTTCCACTTCTCAGTAAGGGAAGCAGGAGGGATCCTGCCAGGCTCGTGCTCAGCACCCAGGAAACCACCAGCATGCTGACGTGTTTTTTTCTGTTTTGGACAAACACAAAGATTCTAGTCCACACAGTGTGAACCCCTTGATGTTGGTCTGAGCATCCCAATGCATCACCAGCCTTCGCGGGACAAAGGTCAACAATTCTAGGGTCAGGGATTCAAGAGTTCAGTTCTGTTAGAGGCTGTATGAGTAGAACACTAACAATGGCAGGTGAGACCTAAGTCCATTCTGAAGGCTGCCAGACAGGGTCTAAAAGAGCCTGAAACCTAGGAAAAGAGATTTTAGAAGTTTTCACAGTATAGATTTTTTTTTTTAGGCCCAGGAAAGGCTTCTGAGAGAAGTCAAAGACTTTCCTTCTTGCTACAATACTGTTTGTTTTAAAATAGGTAAGCTTGTCTCTTTTATGTCTAAACAGTCATCCTATTTAGAGGCGGAAAACTAGACATATTTGAGGATGAATCTTAAAATCAACATAAGTGGGAAAATATATCATTATAAGTCACAATGAAACTGTGATTAAAAATATACTTTCTGGGGTCTAAAGTGGCATTACAGCAGAAAGTCACATGAGGGTGCTCTAAGCTGCTGCTGTAATAAATGAATTAAACGGTTCAATTTGGGGGCAGGGGCAAGGAGCAATGTCGGTCGTGGACTGCAGCATCTCACCTGCAATGTCAGCTAAATGCTAAGAAGCTTGGAACAAAAGGCTTTTCCTTCTCCCATGTTAAAGTTTTGAAGAGGTTCAAATTAGACACTTTGGAAACTACAGAAAAGCACAAAGTAGAAAATAAAAATGAGCTGATGCCTCTGTCAGCCTTGAGTGGCGGGGTTTCCAGGCCCAGGCCCATGAGAAGCGAGTGCAGGCGGTCTGCCTTCAAGCTCTAGGCAGCCTGTTCTCATTTTGAGTCTGAAGACCTTCTTCTGGTAGGAAGGGGGAGGACAGACTGGGGGTCTAATGACCGCAAGAAGAGAATTAGAGACGCATGTTTATCTCAATCCATTTACTCTCATTAAAGTTCATATTCACTGACATCATGCATCTCCTTGAAAAAGTCTGCCCACCCACCATTAATTAAAGCCACATTTTAAAACGCCAGCGTGTGCACTTTTATTCTAACCAAAAGTAGCCTCCTAAGAGGAGGCAGGAGAATATCTGAGGCCTGACAGCTGTTCACCTCTACACGGCGAGGCATCATGTGATTTACATTAAAAATCCATGTTTATTCAGGGTCTAACATACAATAGCCAAGATCTACTGTGTTGAAGAGTTGAAACATTCAACAGCTATTGACCTATTAAGGAAAATTAACATTTATTTTGATAAGTCCATACTCTCTGAGACAAATGGACGAGCGTCCTCCTTTATCTTTTCAAACAGTCTAAGCAGCACATTCCAATCAAAGACACCACACTTTATAACTTCTACATGCCCTATCAATGTCAAGATGAAGGTCACTGGAGGGGTTCCCCCCCATCCAAACCATTGCACAAACAGTAATTAGCCATAGTTGTAAGATTGCACAATCACAGTCTATATTCTTGGCAGCAGTCATGCTGTGTCCATAAATTCATGAAAATAAGGAATGTTGATTTGTAAAGTTCAACGAAGGTACTATTTGTAAACAGTTCAGGTCACACTCATCTTATTCTGCATACTAAGCAAGAGCTCTGCCCTTCCAGCTTCTTGAAGTGAAATGTGCTCTTTCCATCAGTCTATTAACAAGATTTTCATCTAAACAGACCTGCATTCTTTTCTATTCTCTCCTAGCGCGCACCCCCCTCGGCAAGATTTTTCAATTTTATACTGTTCTTTCTTTATGTATTAATACCAAACACATTTTTCATGTTGTATTGAGAAAAGAAAACTGGAGGGTCTTTTTTATTCCACTGGCAATGAGATTATTCCAGAATGGTGGTGACCAAATATTGGCTCAGCAAGCCAGCCTTGGCTTTTTTTTTTTTCCCCAGCCTTGGCTTTTTATGCAAAGGCATATGGTGCAGCACTAAGATATTATTTTTTTTTTTTGTATTGTGGCCTTGCCACCATGCAAATAAATAGGACTATCCATGAGTCTGAATGCTGGCTCTGAGATGGTCAAATCCAAGGCCAAAAGGCCTCGGACAAGGTACTGAAACCTGAGCTTTAGTCCTGCCTTTTCAACTGTCCCGTATGGCCTTGAGCACCTCTAAGTGCTTCTTCATCTAATGGATGGAGGTTGAGGATGGATACTGACTGTGTGACCTTGGCCACGAGCTTAGTCAGGGACAGAAAGTAACTGACCAGAATATCCTTTTTAAGGCCTTATCGCTCCCTGGCCGACTTATGCATTTAATCCCTTAAACAACAAAATGTGGAGGGCTGCTTTTGTTTTTTGGAGTTTTTTGAGAACGAGGCCTGGGTCTGGTTCTAAAAGCAGACATCATGGCTCTGGAAGAAGCCTGCATCCCAGGGCTGGGGAGGTGCCTACACCGGGAAGGCTGGGAAAGGATGCTCAGGGTCTCAGCACCCATCAGATGCAAGCATTTAAGACGCCACCGCTATATGGGCGGAAGTAGGTCCTCCTCGCCCACAGAAGCTATCTGCTGCCTTGATGATACAGTCTTGGGAGGGACCATAAAACACTTGCCCAAACACAATGCCAAAAGCAATGGGTGGACTCCCTGAGTCCAGTTGTGGGAAGGAAGGTGGAGTGTGGGTGGGGATATTTCAACCCAGAACAAACAGCTCTAGGCTGGGGGGGCGGTGGAAAGCTGTGAGTATGCAGCATCTTATCAACGGTAGGAAAGCGTAAGGCAGCCTCCAAAGCCTGTGATAAGGCTGAGCCTTCACAGTGAGCGGGCGGTGGGCTCCCTACCTTCCTCCCCGCTCGGTTGTTGTGCAGGTTCATCAGGGCTCTGGCGTCCTTTCCTTTCCTCTCCTTGGCGTCCACAAAGGCGCGGGCAAATCTGATGCCATAGTCAATGTTATCACTGCAGCCGCCCCAGTCAAAGGTGCCCTTGCTGTCCTTGGCGCTTCCCTTCTTCTTGGGATCACAGGAGCAGGATTTTAACTCTCCTTGGCTACAGGCCCTGGTGATGGCAAACACAACTCCAGCTGAGGAGATGGCGTAAACAAAGGCGGATTCCCGACTACCTGAAACAAAAACGCATCGCAGGTTGTGAACAGCCTTCATAGGAGGGCTGCTTAATTCCTGATCTGTCTCTCTGCCACCGGACAAATGGGAGCGTGCACTCCTGGAGGATCTTTCCAGAACCAGTATGCTAAATGGCATTCAGAAGACAGGCTACTCACACCTTCAGGTTTTACTTCTTCATCTATAGAACAAGTTAGCTTGCTCTTTTAAAAGAAAGAAACAATTGTTTGCTATTGAGTTAAATGCAACTTATGGTCATCCTATGTGTGCATCTGAGAAAAGAACCTTGTACTATAGGCCTTCGAATGGCTGGGTGGTTCCCCCCCGCCCCCCAAATCACTCACCAGGGCTTTCCTCAAAGCAGCTCAGGGTGAATAAGCCTCCAACTTCTAGCATCATAGTCCAGTACATTAACTATGTGCACCAACCAGTAAGATTCTGTTATTGTTGTTAGGTGCCAGCAAGTCAAGTACAACCCACAGCGACCCTATGGACCATGGATCTGAAGCCTGCTCTGTCCAATGCCTCCTCACCATCTCTGGCACACACGAGCCCATTTCTGCAGTCTCTGTGTCAATCCACCTTGTTGAGGGTCTTGCCCTTCCACTGATCCTCCAGCTTTCTTAGCACGATGACAGTCTACAACTCCATACTGTATTTTGTATTCATGATCTTCCCTTGGGGGGGAAAAAATACCCCAAACCTTCCAAACCCATAGGCATTTCTTTGCATTTAGATTATTGAGAGCTCATCTGTATTTAGATTATTGAGATCAAAATATGGAATTCAGAGACTGAGGTGGGAATTCAAGCATTAACTCCCCACACTGCCCGCCCCCACCTCCTCACCCACATTAATGTTGGACAGCTCTGGCGTGGCATCAATTTTCACAAGTAATTGAAGGCAATATGCAATATCCTTGAGTTACACTATGTCTAACTATTAAGGTGAATTTACTTTCTTCTGGAACACCTGCACTAATCACTGGTATTGGGTCAAAGACAGTGGAAAGCTTTTCTTTGGTTTTTCTGGAAGGAAACAAATTTACCGCCTATAATTAGACTTGGGCAAGAACCCTTTGGGGTGCTTTTTGGGAATTGTTCTTTATTAGAGTGCAGGCTACTTTCACTTACAGGCTGAAAGGTACATATTTCAGTGCAATAACTACATTAAATTATTTTAATAATCTGTAGTAACTCATAACACGGTGTTGTGGTATCGTGACAGATATAAGGCTCTTTAGGGTCCGTGTACACCTCGTTTTTCAAGTGGGGCTGTATTTCATTGTTATTAGCATGCTTTTTTATTCATGGTTGCTGCAGCAAATATATTAACAATCAAAATGGAAGCTGAGCCACTTAATGCCAAGGTGAGGCTTAAAACAGAAAGCTGTTTGGCCATTCAATATGTCAAGACGAGTGTGACTTTTGAACCACACAGCTGGAAGAACAAACCACCTTTTCGCATCGAAGCCCTGTCTGTTTCCGTCTGTCACTCAGCGTTAAAATTTATTACATATCCCTTGCTATATTCGTTCTGCTAGTCTCATTATTAAAACTAGGGGAAACGCATCTACACCATATTAAATGGCACTTACCTCAGCCTTCAAAAAAAACAAAAAAACAAAAAAAAAACAACCCACCTCCTCAAAACCTCCAACCATCAAAAAAGGAATCATACCCTGCAGTTTAGGTAAAGTCAATTATATGAGTATTTGCCATAGGTAGCAGGTAACACTCTCCAGAGAGAAATGTGATAATCATGGAAGCTGTTTTAAAGGATTCCAACTCCTATTACAAGGATCACAGATTTTCCAAGTGGAATTGAGAGTTTTGTAAAATACGGTGATTAGATACTAAAATGGCTTAATCTCAGGTAGGGGCTTTTAAGCGAGCAGAGCTTTCATTATGAGCATTTTACAGTTTAGGAAAACACTTCACTCATAAACACTGAGACAGCCAGCTGATTCAGACTCATACTGACCACCCATTCAGAGCTCTAAAGCTTGTAAATCTTTACAGAAGAAAACTGCCCAGATCTCTTCCTCGGAGCAACAGGTGGATTCGAACTGCTGACCTTTGTGCCAGCAGTCCATGCTCACACGCCATGCCATCAGAGCTCCTTCATTTTGTCTATAACTAACCTACTGTCCCTGAATCATAACCAACTCATTGCTGATCCTCCAGTGAGTGTTCAGAGGCTGTGAACTACAGGGAAAGAAATGGTCCATCTTTCTTCGAAGGGGCAGCTGGTAGACTTGAACCACCTACTACATGGCTGGCAGAGCAACTCCTTCCCCACTGGGCCACCAGTGTTCCCTTACTTTGTTCACAGATGCTCTATCTAACGTTGGTTGGTTTTAGATTGGCAGTCCAACGCAAGTGTTCAGAGCAATCACCTAGAACATAATCCCCAAGTGTTTAGCATCTTTGGTACCCATCTTTTCTTGCTTTTCATTGATATGAAGTTTTTGGCTGGAGAAAAAAATGTATCAAATCTTCTACATTTCAGAAATTATTTCCAAAGTAAAAAATATCAGCATAAATACTTGCCATTTATGATTCAAACCCTTGCATAGCCAGTGATCTTTTTTTTTAAATTAGCACATGGACTAAATTTTTCATTTTACCTCCAGATGTTTTGGTATCATGAAGATACGGTCTTAAGATGTTTTGAGTTAAGTGTCTTAGATGAATCACTAAAATGCTATGTGTGAAATAGTAGCACATTTCAAGAGTTGGCTTTGTAACAAAACAAATTTTGATCTTGGGCCTTTTCTTAGGGAAACTGATGTTTTTTAAAGCCACAACAAAATGGAATACAATTCAAATCTAAATGGTGATATTTATACTTTCTAGTGTGTTACTGGAAACCCTATGAACTTGGAGAAAAGATGAAAGTCACACAAGTGTTGAGCACTTTCATTCGTAGGGTCACTATGAGTTGCCTACAACTTGATGGCACTTCACCCACACACACACAGTATGTTACTATCAAAGTTCTCTAATTTGGGGATTGAAATAAGCCCAACACTGCTGAGTATGTATATACACTGGCTTTCAAAATACAATTTGAGGGGTGGGAGAGGACGGCTATTTCAAAGGGCAAGATCTGAGAAACAAAGCTTTCCTAAAGGTCATGGGTGCCCAATTCCCTTTTCAGATGTTGGCTTAGTTTATTGAGATGCACCAAAATGTGACTTGACCACTTTTTTTCCAGCTTCCAAGGCTTAGTCCAGAATCCTGGAGGTGATTTCTTACAGGAATATTTTGGGGTTTACTAGTTCTGTCATCAACTTTCTCAGCCTGTAATTGGTGGCTGTTTGTTGAATGAGTGAATTACAAATGTTCCTAAAAACTCTTCTGACCCTGGCTCTCTGAAGCAGAAGAGGCAAGCAGCCTCCTCTCTCAGCCCACAGGTACTTCTGGTAGGTTCTGTGTTCTCTCTGTAGACGGGGCTGCCCTTTGTCTTGACTCTTCATCTAGATGGAAGCTGGGGCTTCCAGACCAAAGTTCTTCACAAGTTTGAGCTGTGAACTCCCCTCCAAGCAATTAATTGTAAAACCCTTTGGATAGCTTCGTTGGAATTTTATGATTATTTCCAGGAGAAGCTGCTGCAGGCCAAATTCAGTCCTCCCATAACTAACCCAAAATCATCACTGACAGTCACCGGAGTTTGCAGAAATGTCCAGAATGGAATCTGGCCTTCTGTAAAGAGGGGAAAGAAACTATGTGGCATGCATGTTTTTCAGTTTTGAGTACTCTGGCAAAGCACATGGTTTAATCTGAAAGTCTGAAGGAGGTACAAGTTAAAATCCCTTATTTACCTGAAACCATAGACAAAGTCAAACTAGTTTGGCTTTCTCTTGTACTAATCTCTCTCTCTCAGCACCTTTACAGCTCTGAAGATGCAAACACCGCCAAGATAAACTAAAGAATTTTACGAATGACTCCTCAGCTACAATCTTTAGGATCACTGGTCAAGGCTGTTTCCTTTGACTCGTGATGTAAAGGTTTTCCCAGTACACGGACATCAGTAGATTTTCAGCCCAAGAATCTAGAAACAAATGCTTTATAAATACGTACCTTCAGTTTATAGTAATTAGAAAATGGTTGTGAGCACTCTGGGGAAAAAACACAACATAACCTTTTTCTGCATTTTAAACACCAAGGGTGGGCCTTCACATAAAAATATTCAAAGAGTCTGTCCCACATATTTGTAAACGCTCTTTGACAGGGGTCCAGCACTTTAATTCATTAGCTGGTGAGCTAATCTAGGTGAAGTCTGACATTTCATGCAGCTGAAATTTACCATTAACCTTTCAGAAATTTGCGATGTCATATCGAAACTCCAAAAGGAATGCAGAAGAATATAGTTCTTACTAGAGAATAAAACTGCAGAACATCGCAGTAAATTAACTGTAGGGATACACTAAGAGTGAGAGTACTACGCCCTTGGGGGATTTTAGAGACGTTCAGTTATGCATTTGGCCTCATAAAACCCTAGGGCTGTGATGATTACATGATAGAAACACCCTCGGCTAAGCATTACCAAGTGCACGGCTTGAATGATTTTCTTACAAATGGGGAGAGAGGGAGAAGGGGCAAAACAAGTGCAAGGCTTGAATGATTTTCTTACAAATGGGGAGAGAGGGAGAAGGGGCAAAACCAAGTGTAAAGCGGCCTGTTTTCTGAGGTTGGCACATAATCTCTTGTGTTTTCCGTCAGATTTCCCCAGTCACAAATGGGCAGTGTGATTTCTTAAGAGAAAGGTACTAGTACAGGGTAATGGATGGGGAATATGGGAAAATCAGATCAAGGCACATTTTTGCACTAGCTGGTTAAGCCAAGACCTCTGCTGCTAAAGAAAGCCTGCTCTTTTGAACCCATGTAAGGGCTCTGTGGGCAAGAGACCTGTTGATTGGCTCCCCAGATGCTGAAGTAGCAGGCATTTCTACTGTGTCCCAGGGAGCTCTGATGGCCTAGTGGTAAGGAGCTGCGCTGCCAACCCACAGGCACGTTGTTTGAATCCACCAACTGCTCCACAGCAGAAAGATAGGCAATCTCCTCCTGTGCAGTTTATAGCCTCTGAAAACCATCTGGAGGGTCAGTGATGAACCAGCTGACTCCACAGTTCCAAACAACAACAATTATTTCACAAGGGGTCACTATGAGTTGAATCTGACTTAAAGGCACCTAACAATAATAGTCAGCTACTTTCATATTCAGCACATCAAAGAACAACAACCAAAGGAAAAAAAATCTATCTATTCAAGGGCCCCACATATTCCCTCCTTAATTCGTTGCCGCATAATTTTAAATTGACGACTGCGCTTAGAAACACGGCTTTTTTCCCCTTCAATTTATTACCGTCATTTGCGGCAACGTGCTAAATATACTAACTGCCTAAAATGCATCTGAAAAAAAGGTAGGCATTTGTTACGAATCCACCCACTGATTCACTGTAATCACTGAATGCGGCTTCCACAAAGCACCAGGTGAGGGGTAGGGAGCAGTCCATGCCCTCACAGAACGGACAGCTTGTTAAGAAACACGTTCAATTTAGACACAGAGTGTGACTTAGGACTCTGGTGCTAGCTGGGAGGTCAGCGCTGATGACTGAGATACTCCCATGCCTCGCAATAAAGCTTATCTAGTATGCTTGTAATCAGAATCACCTTTGGCTTATTAAAGGTTGCAGCATCCCATCCACATTGATTGTCTGCTCAAGTCCTTCCAGAATATTCAAATCCCAGAAAGATGAGGAGGGAAAGGTCAAGAGAGCCCTAGAGTGCTGTCTCCTCCCTCCTCAGACCAATTCAGAATGTGAAGGACACACAGGGTTTAAGTGATGGACAGAGCAGAGGGGTGACAGACAGGAGCCCAGGGCGTAGCGTCATGATCTGGGCCTGGCCTCCTACCCCTCCAGTCCATATCTGTAAAAGAAGAGCAATACCCGTCAGCAGAAGCAGCTTTGGGTTGAAGTTCAGGAAGGACTGAGCAGGGGACCTGAAGGGCCCAGGAAGCACCACAGTACATGGCAGGACAGTCGTGGGCTGGACTGAGGTGCAGCACTTACTTCTGAGCAGCACCCTGCCAAAGAGGCTGTGATCGCGGTCCAGTGTGTTACAGTTCCAGCGGTGCTGACGGAACTGGTGTTGGCACTCTGCGGTCCACTCGGCCACCCCCAGGCCGATGGCACGCATCACGTCTGGGTGTCGGTGGCACAGTTGACGCTGGCGGCTCACCAAGCCTGGCACATTGTCACACATCACTCTGGAGGAGCCACCTGTAGCTCTCATGTACCTGGGAGGGACCAACCACACAACGATGAGGACAAGGGGTGACGAAAGAGCTCAGGGCACATTTCAAATTGTAATTTCTTATCCTTTGAGTGATCTAGAGCACAACGTAACTGCAATGCAGAGAAGCAAGCAAGGCAAACTTGGGGAAATGAACACAAAAAGGGGCTCTGGCCATTCCTGGTCATGAAGCCTCCAGGCAGGATGCTCTGGGTGGGGTAGGTACAGACAAGGCATGCTCCACAGGAGAGCATGAGAGGGAGTGGAATGCTGTGTTTGGGGGACAATGCTTCAAAGATTTTTCCAAGAAGGCTCTGGTTTCAGTGACACAAGGAGTTTGCACTTGTTTTAGGAATACGCTGACCTCCCAAAGTGTCCTGTTCCCTCTTATTTGACCTAACACTCAAGTGCCTGAAAAATGGTCTGTATTGGTCTAATCCACACCTGCTGGTATCTGATGTTACACTCCCAGACATGTTGTTCTTTCCTGCCTCAAGATTCCTTCAAATATTTCCATTTTCCAGCTCTTTTTTGGTTCCCATGGAAAAGTTCTGGGTGGGTAGGGGAGTTCTTTCTATTGTTATTAAGGACACTAAATGTTTGGAAGAATCAAACAGTGTTATAGCTCCATGAAGTACTTTTAAAAAGAAACTTTTAACTAAAAAAAAAAAAATTACATCATCTGTACCCAGATGTTCTCTATTAGTTGTGAAATGTTTAGAAAGGTACCTTTTATATAACCCAAGCTGCCATAGGTGTCTTTTGAAGCGATCAAACAGGGAGAATGTCTTTCTCTCATATTTTCATTATTTTATATGATCATAAAGTCGTTACAGCTGTGACTTCCAAAAAATATATTTATGTGACAGCTGAGAGACAATGTGACAAAAAGCTGGAGCAGTAAATAATGTTTATACGCCCATGAAAACAGAAGAGTCATTTTATTGGAAAAATGGTCAGCCCGATAAATCAATCTTTGATCCAGTGTCAGCGATGGCAAGGCTAAAACGCCCTTCTGTTCAAGGCTGCTCATGGACTCGAACCCTCTTCCCTTCAGTGGGCTGCTCTGCTCCTTTAAGTGCCCCAGCCTTCTCCCTCCAGGCTCTTGTCTAGCATGGGTATAACCATCTCACTTTTCTCAGGTCCTTTTCAATAACACTCATGATGGGTCTTTTTAAATCTGTGTTTTAGCATTTGATTGAAAACTTTTATGTGCAAGGAAACGACGAGCTCTCAAGCCCATCTCTTCAATATCAGGATAGATGGGGCAGTGTTTCCGGGTGTGGGGAGAAAACCGCTTTTTCAAGTTCCGAATGATGCAAGGCACGTGCCAGCTCAATGTTCTTTGATTACTGGGGGCTGAGGGAGAACCGCAGACCAGCGTACAAAGGACAGCGGCAATGCTACCCTTCAGAGTGACGGTTCTGAAGCTCGTCAAGGTAATGCCCTGAGGTGTGCAGCTTCTCATCGGGCAGAGGTCCCTACCTGGAGGCAGCTAACACCTTCCCGCCCTACTGAGATGAAGCAGGAGGACTGTGGAAAGGAAATAATGCAAAATCACCGCTTAGGGCTCTACACCTCTGTCTGCCTAAATTGGCCCATCTGGTTCATCCTGAGGCGGTTTTGTTGGTTCTGTCCTGGTGGGGGGTAGGCTGCAGGTTAAAGGCAACTGTAGTTTTCAAGGTGAACTTGCACGCGTGCACACACACACATATACACACGCACGCGCGCACACACATACATATACAAACATACACACGCGTGCGCGCGCGCACAACTGTGCTGGCGACCCCGCTAGCCCGTCTCTCAACGGGGATAAGAATTTGGCTGATTGCGCTGCCGCTCAGCTGGAACCACATAAACCAACAACCGAGCTCTCATTCGAGGGGGAATGTGGCCTTTTTGGACTTGTCACCGCTGGGATGGTTAGCCCAGAGCACGGGGGTCCAGGACCGGGCGGGAGCAGTGGGCAGCCGCGGGGGCTCAGGCCAGGCAGGGACACCCCGCGCCCCGGGGCAGCGCCACCCAGGGTCCCCCCGCGCCTGCGGCTCGCGCGCGCGCGCGGACTTACCACCATGAAGAGCTGACCTCGGGGGCGAGCCAGGTCAGGAGCAGCGGGAGCCAGATTCCGGCGAGAGGGGCGTTCATATTAACCCCCTTG